CACACAGACTGTGAGTGACTTTGGTAGTTCGAACGCACAAGGTGAATGCTTAGACTTCGATAGAACAGATACAACCTCCTAGGAGACAGTTGGCTTGTGACTGTTTGACCAGACATGATGCCCAGTTGGATGCTGTGTTCACAAATACACAACAGTTGTTTGCCATACAAAAGCGGGCTCCTTTGAGCAGCACAGACGATTGTATTTTAAAACTTTGTCCAGTCATACACAGCAGGTCCAATATTTTAACGCTGATCAGACGCTGTTACGAGGTTACCAAACGACGAAACTGCTCCTTGAAAAATATCACGAGACTCCATACGATGTTTCCTTTAACAGTGTTCTGCCTTCAATAACGAAGACCTGTCGACTCCATGAAAGAATCTTATAGACTACATCATATACTGCTTTGACTTTTGGCCTTGTTGGAGCTATCTAACGGCAGATAAATTTTAATCACAACGATTAAAGCGGCTTCGAACAATGAAAGAATGTGCTCACAAGTGCAGGAGTACTCTTCGTGGTAAAAGCTTAACCACAGCAAGTAAATCCGATACAAGGCTAACTCACTTATATATCGGAGCAGTTCTGGGCCACCATAAGTGTTGCGATCTATGGAGGCTTCCTAGGCAGCTCTGTAGTAACAGCCTTTTCAGGCAGTGCGGTGAAGTGGATGTGGATAAACTGAATTTGCTTTCGTCCTACATCACCAAGCTCACCGCCATGGCCCTCCGACATTAGCTCAAGTCCAGCTGCGCCCTTCGATCAAAGCAACGTTCACAAGAAACACAAAAGATTAAAAACAAACAAAGGTTGTTGTCCAGATGCTGTCTCACCAATAGCCTTGAAGGAGTGTACTGATTCTCAGCTGACAGCCTGGGAAGGGCTATCGTTTAATGGTGCGCTCTATAAAGCACATTTCTAGATGCAGCGGCTTGTTCAGAGATACTTTAGTTAAGTTGATCATTTCTAGATATCTTGATGGCTGCAATGATTTTTCTCCTAAAATACTAACCGATCGATTTCATCCACTTCATAATGATATTTCAGAATGCTGTCTTTCTCTTTTACTCGTTCGAAATTCAGAAGCTTGTTCTTCCGCACGTCATCCTATCGTAATGCTGTTTTGCCTTATCTCTCACATTTGATTGCTGACACAGAGAAAGTCACTAACATGCTACGTGAGTGGAACTTGGAGTAACTGTCTTGCATTTTTCTATCTTTTCCCCAATCATGTATATTGCTATTATCATCCAGTGGTGTAAATGCTGAAATTAAATCGATTATTTTTATTATGTTTATTTTAACCTGTCTAGAACTTACTTACATTAACTATCATTCCCGCTGTGAGCGCGGCAAATCGGTCTTTAATGTAGACGTAATTGGGGAAATTGAATAACTCAAAATATCCGTCTTCTAACCAAGCCGACGAACCCCGCTTTTTGGTAACAATGATGTCCGCTGAATATCAAAGGAAATACTGGTTTCCGAGTTCTATTTTCTACAGCGAAAACCGATTGATGTCTGAATCTAGTCAAAGAACGTCTTATGCTAGACTTCGAGGTCTGTTCTTCAAGGCCTTTCGGACGCTGCCTATTTGTAGTGGCTCAGCAGTTCAATAGCAATACGTACGGTATTTGCACTGTCGTTTGTTTCCCATTAGGATTCCGTAGAACTCATATAATGCGTTGATAAATGTTTTGCCTACCCATACGATTTTGGTTGAAAAATGAACGCCTGATGTGGGTGGTGTCGCATCTTTCTATGAAATCATCAAATAACTGTGTAAAATCACTTTAACTAATCATCCTCTGCACAAATTTCACAACCACGGACATGTGATGCTTATCGATTACGAGTGTAACTGAGTGGTTTAGATGGAGCAACTCACCTGACGGTAAAAGGATGTTGACATTTTTGACGGAACACCGGTTTCTCTATACATGTATATGTGTTCCGTGACGTAGTGCTAATGAGAATAAGGAGGACGTCATTGAGAATAAGATTTGCTCCTTTCGCAATGAATACATCACTGCCTCTGGATCAATATCTGCGTATTTTCATAAATTTGTAAATAAATGGGAATCGCTTTTAATGTACATAATATGGAAACGTATTTTTATGCATCCACTGAACTCTGCCCACATGACAAAGAAGTTGGCAATGTGGTTATGTCCGTGCTAATTACAGGTAACTATGAGAACATTGGATCAGAAAAATATCGCATCACACTATCTGGAGGCATTATGGTTCTGAAAGACTCATTGCGCAGAATAGTAATAATTGAACATTTGCTCTTCTAGATTAGGCGTGAGATCTTCCGATGGTTCTGCTTGTACTTAAGCTAACTGTGTACTTCATATACTGTCGAACTGCAGGTAGAGCACTTCCGGCTTTCCGGATGTAATTGAGCCATTGTTCTTAATGCGTACTATTCACAGTGTTGATGAAGCTAAGAGCAGCCCTGGAGGTAAAGGATAATCACAGCTCGGTTTGTTCGCCATTGCCTAGGTCGATCACCACCAGCCACCAAGTCATCAATCTGAATCACTTGGTGTCACTATATGGTCAACGCAGAAAGCATTTTCCGCAGCTGAAACTTTACCGTCAATAGGATTTCAAAAATACTTGCGCCTACCAAAGTTGTTCGAAGTGTTACATTTTTAGTCTGTAAAGTATCGTCAATGAGCAGTCACTAGTTAACAATGATGAAGCTGAATACAAGATGAAGCTCCTTTAGGATGCTCAGGGTAACTTCCAAGAAGACACTAAATCTGAGCTTCATGTGCCACAGCAAAAAGGCACAGTGAAACACACCAAAAGTTCCTTTTTGAGACTTTTGGTTGATTGGGTTCAAGAAACGTCTACTGCTTAGGGCCAGAGACATCGCAATCAAGCGTTTGAAGCCATAACAGGACAGAAAGTGAATGCGGATACAGGCCCCAAATTTGCATTTCCATACACTCGCTCCAAAGAAACTTGACCAGGGTTGGTCACGTGTGGGTTTGAGTTGGCTGCCTAGCCAGATTGAGCAAACCATAGACTGCCATTTCATTGCTACGCTAACGAGGCGGACAATGGTTATTTGCTTCTTGTTTATATTGTTGAGCTTGATAACAAAATCACGAGCTTGCTAGCGCATCATTTTTCTTTAAATACTTAAAACGAACTACTCGGCATCATTTTCTCGCGTCTATTAACTTCGGAATGCAAAAAATCTTGTTGTTCGGTTGTTAAAAGTATATAATTACAAAGCTATAAATTGAACATTTAGCCTGAAAGATATAGGGTATACATCAACTTAGTAAGTCCATAAAGATGGCGGATAAACATGAGCACATGCATGAACCCGTTACCAAAATAGTTGTTAAAATCGCAACTTCAGTAAAAATGTCCATTTTCGAAAATAAAAGTTCTTATCTCGCATCAAGAATTTCAACCCAGCTTTCACAAATATTGCGATATTTTTGTAGGATATTATCTCAATCGACTTGAATTAATCAGCGTACTACTTTTTAAAGATCAGTAATGAATGTTAATTGGCTCTTTGTACGTATAGCTGTTATGTGTTCTCTTGTTTGGCTGTTTGGGCGCGTCATAGGACAGATCACGCTATATCTATCCGCTCTGGGTGGTCAGCAAGTAAGTATACTTGTAAAAGAACCCCCATGAATCTTCTTATTTGCCCATTGCAAGTTCGCCTCTTTAGTTGGGTTGGTTGCCAGATAAACTTTGCTCGTAATCTCTTCCTTTAGCTGTGCTTGATTCATATGATGTGTCTTCAGTAGCGTTATATACAATTTACTTCAACTTGTTGGTTAACTGGATTCTCTCCAGAGTAATTAATTCAAAAAATTCATTTGTGTTGATCCAACTATCCTTTAAAATAATCGTGTTTCCCAAAAAATTGAGGAATGATATCGTTTGAAGCAGTATGACCATCGAAGAAGGGATGTATTATTTCCAACTTATACCATCAGTTTAATTTGCAAGAAAGGTAGAAGTTAATGATGAAGTACTAGATATTTATCAGTTATATACGCTTAAATCATGGCCTTAAATGACTAATAAAATCAATATATTCATTTGCCTGTCTCCTTTAGCGCTAATATTTTTAGACAGGACAATTTTACTAATCAGATTCATTCACGTTCAACAGATTACTGAGATATCCCGTACTGAGTCGCGTATCAACATAAGAAATCTGCTGCCCACGAAGAACACGGTCAAGTACATGGTGATGTCGATTTGATGAGGCAGACACCAACTGAGTGATAAAAATCAGCTACAGTTCCACCTTTTTCGTAGCGAAACAGGAAGAATAGTAGCGGCAGTGTTTAAAGAAGTGATCAAGATTTCATGCAGGAAAGTAACTGAAATGCGAAAAGTTTTACACAAGGGTAAATGAGTAAAGAAAAGTAGCAAAGATTATTGCCATGAACTGGAAAATAGCCATAGTTCCATCTAGTTTCCTCAATTTAAAATATGCTTCTGTAAAAATAGAACCAATTTTTGAGGTAACTGTCGCATTAGTTTGAGCATATTATGTGTACAAATTTGGCACGACCATGGTATGCGACACGAATAACAATGAAAAACGGTGGGATGGACTCTGAGCCTTAACCTACTACTTTAATAGCATGTCAATGAACATTTACTTATTAAGCAGCAGATTTTGCACTGATAGTATATCTGCTGTTCAGAACCGGGTACATTAGGTGATATTAAGGCGCAAATGAATGCAGGCAACAGACTGATGCAGGTCAAGCTTGAACTGCTCACTGGTGTGTACATAACTCTAAGCTCGCTGATACTCGTATAATGTAACGGGGCAGCATGGCATTGGATACTTCTGAATGATAATAGTGGGTCAACATCCCTTTCCGAAGTGGATATTGTGGGGGTTAGTGTTAACGAATTTTGCGAGGTGCGAATCGTTGTACCTTAATTACATACACTATCAGAGTGAACCGATAATCAGCGGCTGCAGCAGCAGTAGGCTTTAGATGTGCAGTTACCGTAAGCTATTTCAGCAAACAATCATTTTGAACAAGATGTAGTACGGCTTTCCTGGAATAGGCATCAGATTACTGAGCGCAGACAGAATTCATTTAGGGATATTCAAGCCGAAGTATTTGATTCCTGGAGTATTCAAACTACCGTAAGATAATTAATGGGCTGAGTACTGGTTTACAGACAAATATCTTAAACAACGCCTAACAGTGGGTAGCAGGACTTATGTTTCCGGTATGTAAGGAGTCGATCACCACTCTAATTTTTGGATGGATACTATGACATCGAACACTGCTCTATGAGTAGCTAGTGGTAGAGGCAACGGCAGCAAAACAGCTTTTTTATATTTTTCCGTATACAACAAACATCAGATACATTTGTACTGTCAGATTAGGATATCTGCCTTATTGAGTGATAAGCTTATAGCATGTGATAAATAAATCAACCAACGAAGTTAGCATTCCGTTTTGGATCTCTTTCGTTTAATACGTTTCATCAAACATAACACTTCGTGGAAATCTTCCGTATAATGAAACAAGCAAAAAGGGAGGTCAATAGGTAAATAGACCTTATAACTTAATAAATCCAATGCCCACCCACTACATTTCATACAACGATTCAAAGCGTTTCTGCTGCACGTTGCTAACGTTACCACACGCGCGGTATAGAGGATCCGTTCTTTCCATTCTTTTACTATTTATTTTATCTAGAGTGACCCAATTCGCCCCATCTTACAGATCACGCTATATTCAAATATATTGTTATAGCATACAACGCTGGCAAACTAATCAAACGCATTCGATGAAATATCTTAACCCCGACAAACCGCACCAGTACCAAAAAATATTTAACGGGTAAATAGAATGTGCCACCTTTATAAGTTTCATTACTATGAAATACGTGTTCTTTTGTAACGTCTTAAAAGTGTGGAAACTGCTGACCAGTAAAGCAACTTGTTGATTCTTGAGCACTGTTACCTGGTTGCAATTGTGTTAATGTTCTCTCGCAAATCAACTGGTACTCGTTTCACAATTCCGTGCATTTAGTCAAGATTTTTACTTTAAAACCTCCAGTTATTGGTCGTTGCGTTTTATTACGGAAACAAACTGCGAATTTTTCCGGTCCATGTAAATTGGTGTCTGCTTCATCGAAATTGACACCATAATTACTTCACATGTCGTCGAGTCCCTTCCTAATGATCAGAAGAACGATGAAATAGCATCCGCATGCCAGGAGATAATATATCAAATGACTGCTAAGCGAGACAAACCTCGATTTAGTGTAGCGCTACCATATTGCTCATAAAATACGTCGTTAAATTAAAGCCAGAAATATGCAGGATGTTCTTCTTAGTAAGGTGTTACTAACGAATGTAGATGATAAATATGTTGTTTGCCAGCGTTAACACTTTCCTGCTTCAGTAACAAAACCAATGACATATGCGATAAATAGCACATATCTCCTATTTGCGGAGCACACCAGAACAATAACTGGAGCTACTCAGGCAAATTTAAAAACTCAATCAACGAGCAAAACCTCTGAGAAGCTGATGTTTGTTGTGTACCCCGTTGTTCTAGAAACCGACGTTGTATTCCTTCTTTGAGATGTTATAACGCCTACCTTATTCTTACTGCCAAATAAGGCAAAAAATCCAGCTAGCTTGCTTGGGGTGCTGACAAATGCAGTCTACCATCGCCTTCTGTAGTGACAAGAGCGAATATTTGTCCATCTTGCAAATAGATTGCAAATCAACCAAGTTCATTTACCATTTCGCTGTTCTGCTTATGTGAGGGAAGAATAGCATGCAACATTATTTCATTTTGTGCCCTGTCAAATCCTGAACCCTGTATGTTGCAACAGGATAACTTATTTGAAAACTGAGATTGAATCCGTCGGTCAAAC